TTTTCTAGATAAAAAATTTAATCCAGAAAAGTGATAATGCCCAAAACGCATGTGCCACAACCAATCATCATTTTGTATAATGGAACTCAAGCAAGGAATTTTATCGTGTTGAACATTCAAAGGGAATAGTCGATTAGGAGTCATTTTTACCTTGGCAATGAATCTCCTATTTTTGTCAATCAACATACAGTAGCCATCATGAATCTGCATGTTGTAGCCTTTCTCTGATAATTGTCCCATGCTCAACAGGTTATGATGAAGACCAGGAGCATAGAAAACTTCAGAGATGAAATTTTGAGAACTGTCCTTCAATCTAATTGCAACTCGACCTTTTCCCAAAATCGGAATGTTAGAGTTATTTCCGAATTTCACAGTAGATTTTACCGTTTCATCTAGTGAGAAAAATAACTCCTTTTTCCCACACATGTGGTTGCTGTAGCCAGTATCTAGGTACCAAATATCTCCATCGCCTGAAAAATTATTTGCTACTAGAAGTAAGGTGTGTGGATTATCAGAACCCTCACCAGTATACTCATATTGATTTTTTGCTATATTTGCTTGTTGTTTGAATCTACAATCTGCAGCTCTGTGCCTGAACTTTCCACAGTGATAACAATTGAAATTTGTCCTCTCCTGGCTGATGAAGTTGCCTCTTCCTCTTCCACGGTTGGTAGATATGATATTGTGTCCACCTCTTCCTTGATTTGGTGGCCTGAAATTGTTATCTCTCCATTGTTGATTAAAATTACAACGACCTCTTCCTCTGAAACTACCACGACCTCTACCTCTGAAATTTATATTTCCTCCTTCACGACCTCTACTGTCTTCACTACGGCTGGGTTCTGCTATGTTGGTAAAATTCACCTGGCTTTTCAATGCTTCTTCATTTGTTTTTTCAGTTTTCTCCAAGATTCTGCTCACATGGCTTTCAATGCTACCTTGCAATTCTGCAACTGCTGTCTGTGTCGTGAGACTCAATTTACCACATGATCAAACTTCATCAACATGATGCGTAGAATTTTCTCCACCACCTTGCTTTCAGGGATGTCTTCTCCATACACCCTCATCTTATTGACAAGATTTGTTACCCGTGAAAAATATTGTTCCACTATTTCTGAACTGTACATTTCATATCTTTCATATTCTCGACACATGGATTGTAGTTTAGATTTCTGAGCTTTCTCTACTCCTTTGTATGATAGCTTTAAAATGTCCCATGCTTCTTTGGCTGTTTTGGCATTTGCTATTTTGCCAAAAATTAAATAATCTACACCTTGATGAATTTGTGATAGCGCCAACTGGTCCTTCCTTTGAGTTGCATCATCAGCTCCTTGTTGTAAGCCTGGTTCAATAAAGCTCTAAATATTGTGAGCTTTCAAATGGGTGGACATCAATAATGCCCAATAATTATAATCTAGTTTCCCATCTAATTTGGGACCGGACCAAACAATATTGTAGTTTGTGGTCATCTTTCTCTCTCAAATAGACTTTGAAGATTTTGATAAAGTGAGAACTCTCTTGTTCCTCACACACTCAAAATTTTTTTTAAAATCTTTTCACTAACTCTCTCACAAACTCACAAAACCAATGCTGGATCTAACCTGCTCTGATACCAATTTGATATCAGTGGGACATAATTTTATCAAATACACTCACGCACGTACAGTGGAAACGAGAGAGGAAGAGAGAGTTTCTTTCAATGTATTTCAATCTGAAATTTGATACATACTCTCAGTACAAGATTAGCCTTTTATAGGCTTTACAAACTAATATAATATTATATTTAGGAAACTCATTTGCGAAAGAATGAGAAAGTTGGTATGCAAATTGGCTTTGTCCACCACAATTAATGGTGTCAAACTTTGCTACTACAATTTCAATTTCGGATTTTCAGGTGCGGCAGTACGGCTTTGTAGGCGCCTACAATCTTGATTTAATCAATTCTGACAAATCTGCACTGAAGTTTGATTACGTGACACAATAGGGAGAATTTTTTTAGCTCCTTTCCTTGCTGAAGCAACAGAGCTTGAGTGTATGGATCTTTGACATGGAGTGTTGTGGTTGGTTGGAGAAACATCTCCCCTTCATGTTGAAACGACAAGAAAAAACCAGAGAAAAAACAAGAGCATCTTTGACATGGAGTGTTGTGATTGGTTGGAGAAACATCTCCCCTCCATGTTGAAACGACAAGAAAAAACCAGAGAAAAAATAGGAGCAAGCTTTTCAAGCAACCACCCCCCTTTGCGGCTCGAATTCGACCTCCCCACCACCCATAGCCACCAGCCACACCCACACCGACAACCACACCCATCATTGACAGCCACCACCCACACCCATCACCGATCGCCACACCCACCATCGCTAGCCACCACCCGCACCCACCATCGACAGCCACCATCGACAACCACACCAACCACTCACACCCACCAACCATACCAATCACCCACACCCACGAGAGAAAGAGAGAACGAGAGGGAATGAGAGAGAAAGAGAGAACGAGAGGGAATGAGAGAGAATGAGAGAAAGAGAGAAGGATGGAGACAGTGAGAGAAAGAAAGAGAATGAGAGAAAATTGAATATCGAGAGAAAAAAAAAAAGACGTCGGGAGGAAAAAAGTGTAGCATGAGTTGTCAAAAAAATGTAGTATGAATTGTTAAAAAGTAAAGATGCGTATAAACAATTTCTATTAGAGCAAAAATTATAAAAATATAGTATGAGTTGTTTATGAGTGACGTGGTACAGTGAGACTCATTTAAAGTGGATGGGAATAACTTATAAGCAACTCCCATTGTAAATGTTCTCATGAAGTGTGTGTTGCAAGGTGACCTTCTTAGATAATCATGTATAAATAATTATATACAACTATGTTTATTTGCTTTTAACCACATACAAAGCAAAATTAGCCACATTTGTTTAAGTATTTAACCACATAAGGTGGATGGAGGTGGAGCGCACAAATATGGGCATGTATTGTACTCTTTTTCCAAACATGCATGTATGCGACGTATTCTCTAGTAAGAAAATGAAGCACACGACATGCACAAGTGACCATGATGACCAGGCATTCTGGTTGAAAGGGAGATATGATATAGCAGAATGCAGACTCACGGGATGTTCTCTTGAAGTTGCATATTAATTGATCAACATGAGCGAAACCCATTATTAAGTATATCAAATATTGCGGGATAAAGGAGCTTAGTATTTAACTTTCACTTTTCACCGCCGACAATTTGAGACTCGAGTTCCAGCTTTATTTATATGCAGCGTAAGCACTGTCCTTTCTTCTCCAGGAGAAGACCAACAACACTTGCGGTAGCTATGTAACAGTTACTTTTCACAATACAATTTCTTAAATGCATCTCTCTAATTATTATTTTATATGCCAGCAGCTTGAATGCCAAATTTACATACCAAATAATGTAATACTATAATAACCGAAGTTTAGTTACCAACATGGTGTACATGTGCAGTACTATACACAGTATAAAAGAATCACTAGAACCAGATTAGTGACAAGATTGAGCTACTAATTTATTATACATAAAATTTTGGTTGAAAAATATCTTAAATTCACAAAAACAATAAAATAGATTAATGAAAAAAAATCTTCAAAAAAATATAAATTTGTTCTGTTTGGAAAATGAAGAGATAAAAACAACTAATAATGCTTGTTTTAAACCCTTTATGAAATGGAAGATGAATGGAAAGAAAAAGATATAACTTGAGAAGTATCTTGGATGATGTAAAAGAGAGAGAGAGAGAGAGAATATTAAAGAAATACAAAGAAAATAATATGTTTTGACATAAATGAACAATTATATATTATCCAGTTATGATTTCAGTTAAAACATTTTTAATTTCATTTGTAACTTATTCTGCAGCCAATTACATACAACTCCTTTCTTTTATCATATTTTGAATGAATTTTTGCTCTTACTAAATAGCAGACCTCATAAATTAAAACTGAAAAACAATTAAGATTTAATTCCATACGTTTCTTGGTGAGAGGAAATTCACGATGATTTTCAATACGATACATGATGGGTGTGTAGGTCATCTTTTTAAAATGTAAAACAAAAATTGTTTTTGTATAAAATTGTCAAATCTTTACAAAGAGAAAGACAAACTACAATAAACATTGTTCTTTAATCCCTCCTGCCAAAACTTCTGTTAAATAAACGGACAAAATCCAAATTCTTGAGTGAAGTACTATTTTAAAAATATGAGAAAGAACAAAAATATAATAATTCATTTATTGGACAATTGGGTCTCTTTGGATGAATTTTTATATAAGCATTTTTAAAAGAAAAATAAAAAATAAAATAAAATTTTCATAAACTAAAATTAGTTTGTACTCAAGTTAAAACTAAATTTTTGGAGAAATTAAAATAAGAGAGTTTTACAAATAATTTATATATAAAATATTATATTTAATTTGTAGGAAAAATATTTTTTTCTATTTTCTTTTTCTATCATTGAATTAGATGTTTGTTTATGTTGAGGGAGAACATATTTCCAAAATCACTATAGAGCTGTCAAAGGTTTGACTCTCAAATTTAAGGAAGAATTGAGTCTATATAACAACGTAAGCTAGACGGAATAAGTTGAACACATTAAATATATATAAATAAATAAATACTTAATGAGTCTATTTGACTCACATTCTCTTTGTGTGTTTTTTTTTTTATAGCAAAATTTAAATAATTTTTTTTTAAAATAAATCAATTTAATTTTATCTGATGAGTAAAAAAGGAAGTCATTCATAAGGTTTTTCAACCAACCTATTTTACATGTATTAACGTGTTAGACTAGACATGTCTTTTTATTTTTTATAATAATCTCACTATCACATTGATTATTTAAGGAAATTTTTGGAGAGAGAAAAGTATGTGAGAAAGCAATATAAGATAAAATATGTTATTTTTGGTTGTTTGGATAAATTTTTTAGTTGGTTGGATAAAAGGAAAGAAGTGAGTGAGAAAAGAGAGAAATAATTGGTAGAATCCATGTCCAAAATAATATATCTTTAAAGGAAAGAGATTTAAAGAAGAAAATGTGTAAAGACGTGAAATCCATTAAATTATGTAGAAATGATAATTCTAATCTTTTGATTGGAATTGTGAGAAAATATTATTAGGAGTAAATATGTTTTTATAATATAATTATAACTTTCTTTCTCTTATACTTCTTTTACATTTCTCTCTATCAAAATAACTTAAAAATTTATTTATTTTTTATTTATTTTTTCTTCCTTTTTTTTCTATTACACTTCTTTCTTCTCATAAGGGTAGTAGGTTAATTCATAAGGGTAGTAGGTTAATTGTAATAATTTTTGTACTAACCGTACTTCGCACCCGGGCTCCGAGCCCGGATTAGCAATACAAAACAACCTCGGGCACGCGCTGCGCGACGTCAGCCTGGTATTTGGGCAAATCACACCCGAACCCGAGGATCTCGCTCCAGACCAGATCCACCCTTCAACTATATCATATCATATTGCAATATATTATATTATAACATATCTTATCTCAGGCCCAAGGCCCAAGGCAAACCTAAACCACCCTAAGGTACATACATTATATATATGAGACTATTATTCATGCAAACCCTAACTTTGGCATCGGAGTCTCTTTTGCAGGTACCTCCCCCATCTTGGAGCACCAATACATCAAGCAGAGGAGGCTCGCTGATCTTACTGGACGGATCACCCCTACGGTCAAATTCCGGTAAGAACATTTGGCGCCCACCGTGGGGCCGATCAAGACAACTCTTATCGGCCACCTGCATGGTCTCTACTAGAAGCCACATCAGACGAGCAGCAGACGACGCAAGCCACTCAACTACCATGGACAGCGACGCTGCAACCCTGAGGCGGCTGATCGACCAAGTCGAGCAGATGCGACAACAGCACGACGCCGACCTCCAGAACATGCGTGCCCAGCATGAGAATGACCTCGCAGCAATGCGAATTGCTAATGAAGCAGACCTCGCAGCGTTACGCGCCGAGAATGAGCGCATCCGCGCCCAGCTCCCTCGACATCACTCCAATCAACCTCCGCACGACAGTGACGATCATGAGGAGGAGACACATTCAGCCTCCCAATCCCGAGCGACGACTAAGGCACCGACTTCACGACCTACCACGCACCAGTCTCATGCATCAACGCAAAGAACAGGGCAGGGTACCAGCAGGGCCCCCACCCACGTCTCCGAGGGCCAAGAACCCTTCCACCATCATCCCTTTGTGGATGGCATCATGGAGACCCCACTACCCCGTGGGTGGAAGCCCCTCCACCTTGACCACTACGACGGCACCACGGACCCCGACGAGCACATAGACTCATACACAACTCAGGTAAACCTTTACACTAACAACGATGCTATATTGTGTAGGGTTTTTCCGACCTCACTCAAGGGACCCCACATGATCAAACTTCATCGGCATGGTGCGTAGAATTTTCTCCACCACCTTGCTTTCAGGGATGTCTTCTCCATACACCCTCATCTTATTGACAAGATTTGTTACCCGTGAAAAATATTGTTCCACTATTTCTGAACTGGACATTTCATATCTTTCATATTCTCGACGCATGGATTGCAGTTTAGATTTCTGAGCTTTCTCTACTCCTTTGTATGATAGCTTCATTATTGACAAGATTTGTTACCCGTGAAAAATATTGTTCCACTATTTCTGAACTGTACATTTCATATCTTTCATATTCTCGACACATGGATTGTAGTTTAGATTTCTGAGCTTTCTCTACTCCTTTGTATGATAGCTTTAAAATGTCCCATGCTTCTTTGGCTGTTTTGGCATTTGCTATTTTGCCAAAAATTAAATAATCTACACCTTGATGAATTTGTGATAGCGCCAACTGGTCCTTCCTTTGAGTTGCATCATCAGCTCCTTGTTGTAAGCCTGGTTCAATAAAGCTCTAAATATTGTGAGCTTTCAAATGGGTGGACATCAATAATGCCCAATAATTATAATCTAGTTTCCCATCTAATTTGGGACCGGACCAAACAATATTGTAGTTTGTGGTCATCTTTCTCTCTCAAATAGACTTTGAAGATTTTGATAAAGTGAGAACTCTCTTGTTCCTCACACACTCAAAATTTTTTTTAAAATCTTTTCACTAACTCTCTCACAAACTCACAAAACCAATGCTGGATCTAACCTGCTCTGATACCAATTTGATATCAGTGGGACATAATTTTATCAAATACACTCACGCACGTACAGTGGAAACGAGAGAGGAAGAGAGAGTTTCTTTCAATGTATTTCAATCTGAAATTTGATACATACTCTCAGTACAAGATTAGCCTTTTATAGGCTTTACAAACTAATATAATATTATATTTAGGAAACTCATTTGCGAAAGAATGAGAAAGTTGGTA